GAATTCCCCAGCCAGCGAATGCTGGCTGGGGAATTCTGGGAGTTGAAGTCCGGACATCTTCAAGTTGCCAAGGTTGAGAAACACTGTTCTAGACTGTTATGGCTTGACGGAGGGTTTTTCCCTTTGTGTTGGAAGAAAACAATGTGTAAAATTTTGCAGCATATCATTTGAACATCTTCCTTCTGCATTAGATCTGATTACGCATCGCCTCTACTGGGTAGACTCCAAATACCACTCGGTCTCCAGCATTGATGTGAACGGGGAAAACAGAAGGACGATCCTGGTGGATAACGAGATGCTGGCGCACCCTTTTGGCATTGCAGTCTTTGAGGTATTGTAGGTCGCTAACATGTTTCGGAATCTTTGGCAATACCAGTAGTCCTCGAGTTGCAACCACAACTGAGTCCAAAATTTACGTTGCTAAGTGAAACATTTGTTGTGAGTTTTGCCCCATTTCACGATTGTCACAATTGTTAAGGGAATCAGTGCAGTTTTAAAATTTAAGTTAGTGACTTGGTTGCTAAGTGAATCTGGCTTCACCATTTATTTTCCTTGTCAGAAGGTCGCAAAATCGGATCACATGAGCCCAGGACACTTCAACCACCATAAATATGAACCATCTGCCAGGCATCTGAATTGTGATGTGATCATGGGGTTGTTACGCTGGTTGTAAGAGTGAACCTCTTAAGTCACTTTTTTTCAGTGCCATTGTAAGTATGAATGGTCACTAAATGAAGTGTTTGTAACTCAAGGACTACCTGTACCAAATAATGATGCATAGTTGATGGATAAGATACTTGCCCTGAGATGAAATTTAGCTATAATGTCTTTTTCCTGGTTTATAATCAAAAGACCCATCATCCCCACCATCAGATCATAGAGGGGGGGACGGACAGGAATAGTAATTGCAAACCCCAGGCCAATTTAAATATACACAACCCATCCTCTTGCAGGAATACTTAAAAAGTTGCTAGCATCTCTAAAAACCAATAAATAGATTATAAGATTATAAAGAACAAATAGAAGAATTGGCAGTGGAAATTCTAATTTTATGCATCTGGGGTGCACTTGAGAAAGGCTGTCAAATTGTCAAGAGCATGGATTTCTTGATAAAAATCTAGACCAGGTTTAACACTCCGGATATTAATGAATTGTAACTCTCATCAGCATTAAGAGTAAGGAGTAACGTTTGACAATTCATCAGCCTCTTTATGACCCCCGAACTCCTATTCTTGCTTATAACTTTGATACAAACAAAATAAATGTCATGATTAAAACCAACTTCCTCTTGCATTTCTATTGCATGTGAAAGTTCGTTTTAAAACCTAAAGCAATTTATTTTAGAAGGAGTCAATTTATCAGCAAATCTTAAGACCTTTTAATTCCCTCCTCCCCCTTTTACTGAACGCATTCCCCTTTTGCCTTGGGAAACTGCAGTGGCTGGATATCTTTGGAAGAGTGGGATACATTTACAAAATTCATTGTCCAAATTAATCCCTTATCCAGGATAAAGTATTCTGGACAGATGTCTTGAACGAAGCCATCTTCAGTGCCAACCGCCGAACTGGTTCAAATATTGTGAAAGTGGCAGAGAATCTCTTTTCACCAGAGGATTTGATGCTCTTCCATTCTGTACGGCAACCAAAAGGTGAGAGGCCTCTTCTTCTTTTCTCTTAGTTTAAGTTTGAAGGCCAGCCTTTGTTAGTTACTTGGGTCACTACCTAAAACCTGATAACTTTATTTTTTTTATAAATATCACCCACTTAACTTGTCCATCGCAGGTGAAACCTTCTCTGAAAGAAAAGGGCTTCTTTCTTTTCCAGGTGTAAACTGGTGTGAGAAGAATGGCGTCCCCAATGGAGGCTGCCAGTACCTCTGCCTCCCAGCCCCCCAAATCAATCTCCATTCTGCCAAGTACACCTGTGTCTGCCCTGACAGCATGCACCTGGGCACCGACATGAGAAGCTGCACCCAAGGTACAGAGGTGGAGGAGACAAAGCCGGGGAGGAAATTTGCGAAGGTATCCTGTCTGCCTTGAACGGCAATTTTACATGGCAGTTTCTTCTACCATTCAGATCCTGCTACACCTGTTCCCCCACCTGTGGCTGCTACGACAGTGCACTCTGCTAAGACCTCACCTGCAGCACGGCTGCTATCTACAAGGAAGACTCCGACCCAGAAAACGGATCACCTGCCTGCAGATGTGCTGAATAATGTTGTTACCAACATCCCAGAACAAACCACTCATGAGATGGTCACTCTGTCCCAGCAAGGTGAGAGGCTTCTCTTTCGTCTAGGGAATCTGGGTATTATAATCCCTTTACCTTTCAGTGCAAAACCAGTTATTGCTTACTACCATTTGCCTGAGAACCGGCTGTCGGCCACTGAAGATGCAAGAAATCTATCCCGAAAATAAAACATTGGTTCCAATTTGTTAAAAATGCCTTCCATGCATTAGTTAGGATTTTGTAATCTTGGAATAAGATCTCTGTAGTGAAATACAGTGTTAGAATTTATCTAATCCTGAGTGGAGAAAGCTTTGCACGAATGTGTTCTGCAACTGAAGGAAGTTTCAAATGAGAGGACAGGTGGTCGTTCTTCCTTTTCCATAGAAATTTAGCGCATACCATGTGGGAGGAGTTAACTTTAGCCTCGTGTTTCTTCCCTCCGTAGTCCAAAACGGCATTGCTGCAGAAACAGATGGGACAGAACGGAGAGGCCCATCAGCACTCGCTATTGTTCTACCTCTGGGTAAGTTTCCCACTTCAGAATTCCCCGCTTGCATATTAGCACATTAATGAAATTACTAATTAATTATGATTTGATCTGCAATTTTTAGTATGTTCCTTGTTCTAAGCCATTGTGTCCGATTGCTTAAAGTAATGTGTCTTCTTGGGGGTGGGTTTCATTCCAGCACTGATTAGTCTGGTTTCTTTTGGGATTTTCCTCATTTGGAAGAACTGGCGTCTCAAGAACATCAACAGTATCAATTTTGATAACCCCGTTTATCAGAAGACAACGGAGGATGAGATTCATATCTGTCGGAGCCAGGAAGGATATTCATACCCATCAGTAAGTCAATATTCAAGATAAAAGCTTCCACGGGGTAACATTGGGCCACGCTTCAAAATTACTGCCAAGATACACGACTTCCTTCATTTGCTTTACACGCAGTGTTTCTCAACGTTGGCAACTTGAAGATGTCCGGACTTCAACTCCCAGAATTCCCCAGCCAGCGTTCGCTGGCTGGGGAATTCTGGGAGTTGAAGTCCGGACATCTTCAAGTTGCCAAGGTTGGGAAACACTGGACTAGGCAACAAGTACAGAAGGAATTTTCATTCTGTTATAAAACTGCAAATAAAAGCAAGTGAAATGTC